CGAGATGAAGAATCCGTGCTTGTGTTCATCCTGTCGTCTCGAGTTTCATTGTTTCGAATGAATCAGTGTGCACAGATTATTCTGCGGATTAGCAGTTTTGTACATAGTTGACGCAACATCGCATTTTTGCATCGGGACACGCGAAGCATATTGTTAACAATGAAAGATACGATGCGGTAGGTCTACTGGCTACTTAAATTACGAATATTAATTTCCACATTAATTTCTACATGTTCAAATTACTACAATTTCAATCTGCAGTTAAGAAGGACAAACTTTCAGTGAAACCAGTTCGACATCTTCTAATTACTCCAAGAAAATACATCACATGTTTCTTTAACTGATAAAGAGCCTAAAAGAAACTCTCACTAATCACTGCATCAATGAAAAGTCCTCTATCATTTACCAAATTCCATATTTCTTTCTAAATTAATCAATGACACGCTAATAACATTAGCCTTTATCCTGCAGCGTGCCACGCCATTTTTACGGCGAGAAGGCGGGAATATTTGAATTCAAATATAGTACTCCAGCCTTATTCGTACAACAATAACCAATACCAAAAAGAGAATATTTGACTAGAAAGATAAAAAATCCAGGAAACCGTGAATTACGATAAAAGGGACAACCATCTGTCTTTCGAGGACAGGGAATACGATTAATGACACCGCGGGAAGCATGGGAAGCCCGGTAAAAATTTAATAGAGGGTTAGGTGCTCGGGCATCTACCACCGGATCTCCCCACGCTGGCCACCGTTTTCTCTATCTCTGCCGGCAAGGTCGACGATCCTTGGGAGAAAAGATTATTAAGCACGGTCGCGTTACGTGGACCTTCGGTAAATGGCCGCGGTTCGTGCAGCAAGGTGCACTGACCGCAGATAGAAACACGTGGACGCGGACCGTGTCGGTGACGCCGATTCCGTGGAAGGGAAGGAAAAAGAGGGCGGGGGGAGGGCTGGAAGGGCTGATGATTTCACGTGAAGCCTCACCAGTCATCGTATACGTGATGAAACGGACGTCGCCTCTTACGAAATTCTCGGCGAACGTGTTGCACGTATCGCCTGTCAGTTTTCTTGAAATGAACGGGATTTCGTTGGGCAAGATTCGCGGGGATTCGGCAGTCGAGTCTTTATTTGCTTACGGTAAAAATCTACATTCGCATATTGGATACGGGCAATTCCCGTGGAAAGAGGATTCAGTGAGAGGTCGATTGGAACGGTGTAGAACAATTCAAACTTGTTTAATGACCTACAAGATTTAAACACATTATTTTATATCGAAACCTGTAAGAAACCTGTATAATATACTCACCCCAAACATCTCAAAATACACATTTCAAATATTCCAAATCCTTCGTGGCCTTTCAGAATCGTTCAAACAGAGATATAAAGTATAAAGAAATATACGGAAAACGCACTCCGCGAAAGCTCCGCGCACTTCACGTATCCGCGAAACGAGAAAGATCTTGGATGGCATCAGGTACGGCAGCCGCGCGCGATATAAACAAACATAAATTTTCCGAGCCACAAAGTTCATGAAAAAAGGAAAAAAAATTACAGAACACAATGCGAAACATTTTTTCCGGCAGTTGCGCTCGATTCAAAGGATTATCAAACCGTCTACTCCAATTACGCGGGAGGAATTTCGCGTGCGTTAAATCCCTCAAGCATAAAGACAATTAAGAATTAAACTACAATTAACGTGCGGGGTGGGGGGGAATAAATAAATATATCGTACGGAGATGTTTAATGGTCGTCACGGCGAATTTCCTTGAATCGAGAACGCGGGGCCAGAGGACGAGGTTCCTGTTCTCTTCCCTCCCTTTCGCCCGGTATCCTTTTTCTCCTAATCGCGCGGCTTCTAGTGACGTAACAGGCAAGGTCTTACGGTACCTCCGGCAACGGGCCTACATTACGTGAGTATCCCTACACGCGACCCGCATGTACGTAGTTACGTACCTGCGTAGAAGATCCGCTACACGTTGTTTGACTCGAGCCAGCCGAGCCTCTTTCCGTCTTTCTCTCTTTCTCCGCCGTCTGCTCCCACCCCTCTCTCTTTCTCTCTCTGCCCCTCCCCACACACCCCCGTTCGCTCGCGCCAACCGTACACTCTCTTTGATTCCTGCCTCGGCCGGCGCGGCTCATTGAAGCGGGATTCTAAAAACGATTAACGGTTTTAAACAGTCTTCTTTAACCAGTTCTATCTGTGGAATTCGGTTTTAAACGTCTCCGGGGTGTACAGTAGAGTTAAGCTATGACGAGTATACACGTCGAACGAAGGGCATTCAAATAAAGAGCTAAAGAATGAAAATGAATGGGTTTACTTGGAAAAATGAGTAATCAGGTATTGGGGGAGTTTGTATTGTTTTGGGCTGTAGGATGGGCATGTTCGAATACTGCTAAGCGGTTAATCCGCTAGTTGATGTTTTTGTGTATAACCATTGGTATGGTTGTTGTTTGATATTAAATATGGTAGAATTTTATTATATCTCTTGTGACTGGTTAAATGATTGATCGCGAAGTAAGGGTGGGAAAGTTGGATGATAAGTTTTTCTTAGTGAAAGTAGAAACAAAAAGAAGGGTAAAAACGGAATGCTGATTATTTGGGTAATATAAGAATTGAAATGGAGTTGTGCGAGTGAAGGAACATATGAAATTTTAAATTGAATTTTGAAGATGATAATTTAACCGGGTGTGGTACGTTTTGCATTAATTGCATGCAAGGTTTGAGTGTACCTACCTCCTTTCAATGGTAACTTGCCGAGTCCCGTATTGAAGCTACGAGATCCAACGGTCGATGACAAAACGTTTTTCTTGCTTCGATCGATCTTTGCTTACGGTGTGAGTTATACGAGGTGTTTCGAAAGACCTGTCAAAAAGTTTGGTTGTACTGCATGTGATGAATAAAAATATGACTAAACGGGAAGTCCTGGTGAGTATGGAGCCATGTGACTTTGGTTTTGATAGTATATTTTTGCATATTCTCTAAAACATTAGCTTCCATAAAAATTGTACAAAATTAGAGTGATTTTTTTAATGCGATAGAAACTGAACAGTTCTGTGGAGTATAATTTTAAGTATTTCCAAACTTTCGAAGCACCCTGTACACACGGTAGTGTAAAAAATATTTAAATGTATGCAACAGTAGAAATAGGGTATGTTAATAGAAACGTTACTTAAGACTCTCAATATGATTTATAAAAGAACGTGGGTTAACCGACTCCTAACTGTTAAAAGTATGCTAAATAGTCTGCAGAGGAATACAAGGTATAATTTTTTATCTTCTGGAAACTGTTTTCAATTCTTCATTTCCATTCCTGTTATGAAATATTTCGAAACATCAGTAGAAAATTAGTAACCTACTTTTCCTAAAATATAAGCCACTACAGTTATTAGCAAATTTAAGAAAATTATTATCTAGAACATAAACAAGAAATTCCTTAATCAAACTAGCCACTAAAAGTAACGGCGATTTTTCAAATATTAACATAAAATCAGACTCTCCCGCAAGTGATTTAAAACTTATTTATAACTCTCAAGATTATATAACTAACGTACACTCAATCGAAATTAATATCAATCGCTATCCGGGTAAAATCCAGAACACGCTTTACAAAGATTCAAACCAATTCCAAGCTGAAAAGTCTCGTGCGAACCAATGAATCGTTACGTTCCCTCGCAGCCCGCGGGAACCAATCAGCGATTCCGGCCATAGAATTCGTCATTCAGTGCTAGGGTCATCGACGCCGCCGCCTCCACGTCGTTTTCCCTTGTTTTCTGATCGGTATGCGCGGGTGCCTCGTCGGGACACCGACAGGTGAGCAGAAAACAGACGTACACATATATTTGTATATGTACATATACATATTCATATTCATATTCATATACATATTCATATTCATATTCATATACATATACATATACATATACATATTCATATACATCATATACATATTCATATACATATTCATATACATATTTATATACATATACGTATACATATATACATACACATACACACATATGTACATAAATATATAAATATATATATATATATATATATACACATATATATATACACATGTATGTAAGGTACAGTTAGGAGTACCGTTCTGAAAATGCAACGGCTCGTATCGGGCCGAAGAGAGCGAGGAGAGTTGTAGTCTACGGTTGTGTGTACGCGCCGCGCCGCGCGGCGCTTTAACTCAAACGGACACGGCCGGGAGAGGCAGGGAGAGATCCAGTCGAAAGGGGTATAACGGTAGCGATAAATTCAATGGCACGATGAAACACGGAATATAAGCGGCGCGCTCGCGCGCGTGCTTCACGCGCAAATAATTACTGGCCGATAAAGTCGCTGCGAGATTCGCGGTTGCCTTGAGCAATATCGTTTATACACCAGCCGAATTGGGTTCCATCGTTCGCGGATAGGTCAAGTTACCCGGAATTCCAACGGCAGAGTCCGCCGATGCCTGAATAATCCGAAACTTTCCATTAAACGTTGATCACGCGACGCGAGCGCGCATCGTTCCTCCGTCCGTTGTTCGAATTCCCGCGCGTCGCGGGGCCGATAACGAACGCGACGAGTCAATCTGGAATCGAACGGGAACACACACACGCAAGCGCGCACACCGAGGCAGTAGAACGGATGTATTATAGTAGATCGAAGCTCACCTTAAAGGGACGCGACTGTTTGACGTTGACCGACAACGCCACGCTCGCCGCGCTTACTGACCCCGATTCCCGACGATTCCCCGTTGAAACGAAAATAGGGGTTCCTGATCGTGTCCACCGGTGAAAGGGCAAAGGGAGAGCCGACACCGGCGTCAAGTGGAGATCGTGTTATCGGCTCGCCGACGGAACAGTCTATCCGAGCCAGGGTGTAGAGGCTGCCAACGGATCGAATGGAATAGCGGCCGGAGCGGTCCGGCGGGCGGCGCTTGCGCGCTTCACCCCCTGGATCGCGTCTAACCAATGGAACACCCCCTGTTACACTGCCCTCGGGCGGCTGGAACATTCCGATGTATTTTCGAGGAATTTCCGTGAGGTATGTGCCATCACGGTGAGACCTCGCCGGGGCGACGGGGGAAGAGGCAGCGGCCGTAGAGGCTGGAGGCAGTCGAGTCCGGCGGGCACCGAACGCGGTGGCCAGCTCGCGAATCGTCGGAAGTAAGAAAAAGGGGATGCGACGCGGGGGATGAAAACGCTCGGTCCGTGTCACAGTGTAATCCGGGCGGGGTGGTAGGCTCGGTGGCGGTGGTGGCTCAACACCGGCCGCCATCTGGTGACGGTCGCGTCAAGCTCGAGCCACTGTGCTTCCCCGTGAAGTGCATAGCCGAAACGAGTCGTTCGGCTCCGAAACGTCATCAGCACGAGCATTTTTTCCGTGGGATCGACGGGATCCCGCGAGATCCGCGCGCGTAACCGGCCCGCGACCCGTCCGCTGCGTGGCGCGTACAGTTTTCCTTTGGTGTCACCGCGGTGTGTTAAAACCTCCCGTGAACGGGAATCGAATCGGTCACGAGCGTCAGCTAGCCAGGATGACGGGAACGATAATGACGTAAAGCCCACGAGGCCGAGTGGATCCGACTGGGTGACCCGAGACGCCCGTGTGTGCACGGATATCGCGATCCCTATGGCCGTGACGTCGTTGTCAGCTCTCCTGGGGACTGGTTTCGTACAGTGACACCCTTGGTGCGGAGTATCAGGCGGATCCTGCGTTCCTGGAGCCTCGATCCGTGTCCCGGAGAGAGAGGACTGGACGATGATCGATGTCGCGGGAGTAACGTCGCGACCCGCGATGATGCCCCGTTGCGAACCTACCCGCGATCACCTCGAACCGGGGTGGTGTTTGGTCGATGATTGAACTTCTACCTCGAATCACCTAGCGGAGACTCGTTCCGCGGCGGCGGTTTTACAAAGACAACCTGATCAGGACTGCTACAGGGTGTCGATCTTAGTTCCCGTCTAGATGTAGCTGATCTCTGTAGGATGTAAACGTGGGACACGGTGGAAAGAGGATGTCCAGGTCGGGGCAAAATGCGATGGAACGGGAAGAACAGGTGAACAGCGGTCTACGAATAGTCCCGCTGCGTGTCACGGCACCGTGTTGAAAGCAAGCTCCACGGAATATCGACCGAAGGCCGCGGCTACCGAATTAGTCGCGACGAAGGTCGCGAATAAACGCGTGCTTCTCTTCCCGCGAGATCAACCGTGAGGTGCGATACCGACGTTCGATCAGAGGGTCAGAGGATTGAATCCTGTGTGTCTGAGACAACAGCCATTGCCGAAATCGACGACGCGTCCTGAACGGACTTGGACACCCGGTCCATCCGCGCGCGAAGTGTTTTCAACCGCTCCGCCGCATCTAGTGATTGTCCCGATTTCGAGGACCGTCAGCGGAGATCCTCGGAAACGTCGATAATTAACGTGGCACGGATTAACGAGGAGGGACATTGAAACCGAGAGTGCGAACTGGATGTAACTCCCCTCGAAATACGGCACTCTGAACGAGACCTACTGACCTATCGACTCGTTTTCCCCCTCCACGGCTGCCACGACTTCACTGTTCCCGTTGCTACCCCTTTTTCCCTGGTTCTACCCTTTGAATCGCGACACAAGCCGAATTCGAAGGATCAAATCGGGAGGACAGCGACCGTCGTGGTGGTAGCGGTGTGTGGCTTGTGTGTGAGTGTTGTTGGGTCGCGGGGAAGGCGACGTGGCTGCGCGTACGGACAGAGGCGCGGGTGAATCGAAGAGAGTCGTTCTTTGAACGAGACCCACTGACCTATCGACTCGGCCGCTCCGCTCCTACCCTCGGCGTCTTTCTGTTCCTCGCCACCCTACCTCTGTCTCTCTCTCTCTTTCTCTTCCTCTCTAGCTTTCTCCGCTGCTGGTAGCGTGCCGCGCCGCGTCGAGACGCTTCGCGATACCGTTTCGTACACCTCCCTCGGTCCGCCAACGAAAAGGGTAACGTTCGAAGACGCAGGGGGCGACATCGACCCGCACATTTCTAAGATAAACGAGTGCCTAAGGATTTTTCGATCGGTACCACCGACCGACTGTTCTATTTGTACGATTTTTCGCGATTCCTCGTTTCCACCCTCTTTCACTATCAGCCCCATCTCGTACACTTTTCTACTTGCGTTTTCGTAGCGTTTAACGGCGACACGGTCTGCAGGGTATGCTTTTCGTTCATTATCGCTTGGTACATCCTCTGTGTTTCTCCGTTCCCGGTTCAGTATTCGGTGATTCGTATCGATATAGGGTATCCAGACTACAACATGAAGAGTGCCTAAAATTTCAATGCCTTCTCGACTGATCCATTGGACACACACGACATCCACGTATAAATTCGTCGTCTATTTTCTCGCGTAATCGAATCATTTCTACGGTCAAGTCCCGGTCGCTCGTTTTTCCTTCCCGCGAAGGGGGACGCGAACCTTTTCATATTATAGCTCTCTCGCGAAGGTCGACCGTGTAAACAGTCGACGAACAGTGCCTCAGATGTATTATCTCCTCTCGACTGATCCGACACAGAAACATTAGGAGCCGTACCCGTAAGCTTCACTCGTTTCGCCGCGATCTATCGCTTGCCGTTTAGCGAGGTGCGCGACGTTTGTCTCGTTGCCTATTCTCGTCGAAAGAGGACAAAGATAAATCGGAGAAAGAGCGTCCTTGGAGGTGAGTTTCTGAATCTTCGAATCCGACTCGACTTTCTACCTTCCACCGAAGTATATCCTTGTTCCTTTCGCGCGCAATCGACGATCCAGACTGTGCATGAAACGTTGAACAGCCTACGATTTCAAAGAGTTCGAAAGACGATGCCTTACGTCCTCCAAGGATCCAGCACAAAGTATCAGCGACGCTTCGAACTTCGTTGATGTGGTCGACGAGGGGCAAAGTGAATCAACTCGGCTCACGTTGCCAGCTGAATCATTGAACTTTTGCCGGGTCGACAGTGGCGATCGATCGACCGATACCGCGGCGGTCTCGACGGTGCATCTTTAATTTCAGCCGCGGAAGACATGGCATCCGGATCGCGACCCGTGCCCGTCGCACTGTCCTTTGGCGAGGAAAAGGATCGCGCGGCGAGCTACGTCGAGATGTTCGCTACCTGTGAAACCGTGACGCGTTGGTACGGGTCATCGACAACAATAGCCTGATCGTAGAATTGCGAGGACAACAAACACGTACAAAGAAAAGTATCAGCAATACGAGAGAATAAAGATACATATAAATGTGGAAACGGTTAAGTTAAAGAGAAAAGAAAGATTGTAAAGAGAAGAAGAGAATATTGGAAAGAAACGCGCAATTAATAGTGTTGGAAGACTATATCAACGAAGAAGACGAGTCGAGAAGTGTATAATCGAATCTGTCGATCGTCTCCTCGTCAAATCAAGTTGTTCATACTCAGAGCAATACAATAGTAAATTTGAGATTCCGGGATCTCGAGTGTCGAAGATGTTGTTGAATTGAGTTAAACTGTTGTACAGGAGAGAGAAAGTATAAATTGAACGAAAAAAAAATGGCGGAAAGTGCGGCGAGCCCGGGTTCCGTGCAGGTCGCTGCGAACAGTCCGCAGCAACAGCAACAATCGCAACAACCGCAACAACAGCAACAACAACAACCGCAACAAACGCAACAGACGCAACAACCGCCGGATATAAGCAGCTCGCAGCTGGCGTCGCCACCAATCACGGGCACAGGTACGAATAGGAAACGATCGAGATCTTCCGGTAGGGTTATATTTAAGATCTATGGGCATCTCAATTAGACGTTTTTGTTCGATTAGCGGAACGTTCCTTCACGTCCTTTTGCGAAAGTATGTCTGAAAGGGAGAATGGTGAATCTGATAATTTTGTGATTTCACGTGTTACGTTCTAAGTTACATTAGCAGGGACAACAAGAAATCTTGAAATATGGCGTGTTTGAATTAGAAATTTTACCTGCGGATCTTTCTTCACTGTTTGCTGTAAAATTTTAATTTTGATTGAAAGAGCATATGCAATTATTTAATGCTTTGCGTATAAGAAATGTTGAATACTTTAATGTGTAAAAACGTGTTCCAGATTTTTGAAATGATACTTACATATGAAATAAAAAATAATTTTTCTAAATTTAGACTTATTTGAATCAGATAAAAATGACCTCATTAATAAGCACTCAAGTATGGACTTCGATTTCATTCAAATTAGCTACATAATTTTGTAATGACAATTTTTGGTAGAATCTCCGAATTTGAAACAGTGAAATTAGTTTAATAGTATACATGGAACCGAGCGACATCCAATTAAATGTGAAGAACAGAAGCCAGGATTTAGTTCTTGTGTCTCTGGAGTGCTTAATTTGGAACGTAACACTTTTCTTTGCTTAAAAATGCACGGAGTCTGGTGAATTGTTAGCAAGAAAACTTGGGGAGGAAGGAGAAAGGCTCAGCGAAGTCAGGAAGCAGGCTTAGCGAATGAAAGACGACTGTCGGGCTTGGTTTTTTTTTTCTTTTTCTAATG